CCGAAAAGTGTCCGGACACACCCCCTCGGCCTCGGGGAGGGAGGCTGGGGATCCGACTCTGCCCAGATCGCGGAACTCGTAGCTCTGGCCGTCCTGGCGCCTCCGGGGCGCGAAGGAGGCCAGGTGCGTGCGTCCCCGCGACCCAGCGAGCATGGGCTTTGCGGCTGCTCCCGCCTATCCACACGAAACCCTGGCCTCACACGTGCAACACCCACTGCCCTACACGGAGCCGCTCCGCAGGGGGTTGGGGGGCGGGGGCGTAGTAACCTGAGGAAGAGAGGTTTGGAAAAGGACGTGCTAAGATGCTGAAACACATATGCCCAGTGCCTGACCCACCCACAGCCGCTAGCTGCACCCTTAAGCACTTCCAGGAAGAGTTGTCCCTAAGGCCTTAGGAAAGGAAAAGAAAAAAACAAAACTCTTCCTGCTCAAGAAGGAAGGGGCGCCCTAGACAGTTTGGCTCAATGGATAGAGCGTTGGCCTGCGGACTGAAGGGTCCTGGGTTCATTCAGGTCAGGGGCACATACCTCGCTGCAGGCTCCTCCCCAGCCCCAGCCCTGGTTTGGGCGTGTGCAGGAGGCAACCAATCCATGTGTTTCTCTCACACCGGTATTTCTGTCTTTCCCTCTCTCTTCCACTCTCTCTAAAAATCAATGGAAAAATATCCTCGGGTGAGGATATTAAAAAAACAAACAAAAAAACAAAAAGAAAAAGAAGAAAGGGGAGAACACCATTCAGGAGTCAAAAGTCACTCTCCTCTGGGCGCAGTTTCCTGTCTAAGAAGGTGCTGGCTGCCCCGGGGCCCCTTTTTAGCTTCAGAATGATAGGACTGGGTCGCCGGCTGGGCAGCAGGATGCTCCTCTGCCTCTTCTCACTCCCCAGGGCTGTGCCCCATCGGGTAAGCAACTCCCTGGGTGTGAGGGGAACTGGCGTCCACCACAGGACAGGTCCTGGCCGTGCCCAGGGCAGTGGTCTGAGAACTAGTCACTTGCGCAGTTGTTAAATGTGGGCTCCTGGGCCCCTTCCCAGACCTCTCAACACACTCTAAGCCCGGGGCATGGGAATTCAGTGCTCTTCAGGTGATTTTTAAAAATAGGTCAGCTTTATTGCTATATAATACACAAACCACAGAATTCACCAATTTAATGTGTACAATTCAACACTTTTTAGCATATTCAAAACCATCATCCTAATCAATTTTAGAACATCTCCATCACCTTAGCAGTCACTTCTCATCACCGCCCGCCCCCACGCCCCCAGCCCCAGGTAACCACTAATCTACTTTCTGTCCTAATATGTGGTCTTGTATCTGGCGTCTTTCACTTACGTAAGGTTTTCAAGGTTCACCTATATCGCAGTATGCATCAGTGCTCATTCCTTTTTATTGCAAATAAGATTCCATCATATGGATATGCCACATTTTATTTACCCATCAGCAGCTGAAAAACATTTAGGCTGTTTCCACTTTTGATGATTATGAATAATACTGCTACCGACATTGCCGTTCAAGATTTTATGTGGACAGGCTTTCATTTCTCTGCTCTCCAGCTGACTGTGACACACACCAAACATGGTGGTGGGTGGTGCCCAGCACGTAGGTGCCAGCTCAGACACTGCCCAGCTCCTCTTGGAGGTGAGAGAAGCCTCACACTGTCTGGTTGGGTCACTGACTGGCCTCACCTTTTCCAGAGTGTTCTCAGCCCTCAAGGTCGCTCACCAACCCTCCAACCTTTATCTAAGCTGGCTCAGGACCAGCAGGCAGGGAGGAAGGAGCGGCAAGACCGGCTACCTCTACCTGGCAGCCAGCCAAGCATCACGGTGGCTTACCTTGCAGGAGGTGGGTCCCACCATGGTGGGCGACGAGTACTCCGATCCAGAGCTGATGGAGCATTTGGGGGCCTCAAAAAGAGGCGTCCTGGGAAACAACTTGTAAGTAGTTGCATTCGTTCGTATCTTTTCCCCTGGACCCGTCCGTCCCCGTCACACACCACCAAGACGAGGGACAATGCCACTGCCCAACCTCAGACCTCCGTGTGCAGCCTCACAGCCCCCCAGGCCTGCTCTGAGGCTCTCCCACTGCCCTCCCTTCAGAAGGGAGCTCACAGACAAAGTCAAGTCCCAGGACAAAGTCCCAGGACAGAGTCCAGTCCTAGAGATAGGACTATGGACGTGAACTATTCCTTGCTCTGCCCCTATCTCCAAGATGGACCTTATCGTGGCAAAGACAGGCACAGAGAAAAGGTTTCTGTCTTGAAGAGCTGGCTGGTTAACAAAGCTAAGCCCTAAAGCAGGGAGCGGGCAGCCTGGGCCCTACTTGCAGCTCAGCCAGCAGCCTGCGTACTCGGCCACCTCTTTTCTTCACACTAGTTCTGAGCTTGAACACTGAGCGCTGCTTCCTTTTCTGCCCCTCCCCATTCATGCCCCATAGGCAGGGGGAACCTGCGCCACAGGCGGGACTCCTTAGAAGGGTCCCCAGAATGAGCCCCATTCAAAGGGGGCAGCAAAGGGGAGGCGAGCTGGTGTCAGCCCCTTGGGTCAGGGTGGGAGGGCGGAAGCCAACCCCATCCATTTGCCATGAGCATTGATCTGGAGATGCCCAGCTTGGAGCTCGTGCCCTTTACCTATGTGATGGCCCTTTAGAATCAGTTCACCCTGAAAGCGCATTCTCTGTGCTAGGGAGAGGCACCCAGAGTCAGGAACTATTGGGGGTCAAGCCATGGCCCCAGGACTGTAGGACAGGCTAGGCAGGAGGAGGGGCAGGAGGCTAGGTGAGGACCCTGGGGAGCAGCCATTCTTCCTGAACAGTGCAGCAGCCTAGGGCACGTGGGGCTGTCAGCCCAGTCTCATGACATTGGGAAAGCCACTTAAGCCCTCTGTTTTCTCATTTACACAATGGAAACAATAATGGTGCCTTCCTCAGGTTGTTGGGAGGAATAAAGGAGCTAATGGTCAGCAGGGGAGGGTCAGGGAACGTGCACCTAGCCTGGCACCTGGAAGACACCCCCAGTCTCAGTCACTGTCACAGGCATTCCCGACCAGGTGTGGCCTTCAGCAGGTACTAGCTTTGTAGGGGTCGCTTGCACGGTGACCCCCTCACGCTGCCCCTCTCCATCTGTTCGCAGCTACGAGTACTACGTCAGTGACCCTCCTCGAATAGTCCTGGACAAGCTGGAACGCAGGGGCTTCCGTGTGCTGAGCATGACAGGGGTGGGCCAGACGCTGGTGTGGTGCCTGCACAAGGAGTGACCCTCACTGTGAGGTGCGGACAGGGCACCCCTTCTCTGAGTGGTTGCCTATGGGTCCCGATCCCAAGCCCCGCCTCACTCACTCCCCTGCCCCTCTTCCCAAATTGTCATTTCCCTTGGACCAGCACCACTGGGCAGTGAATGGCCTCTGAAACCTGCTCCCAGCTGCCCCTCCACCTTCCAGCTGGTGAGGGTTCCGGAGGAGTCCATGTTCATGGGCAGGCTGAGGGGCTGGCAAGAGCCAGGCTGCCTTTGTCAGGAGCACTGGCCCTGGGACTGGGGGGTGGGTCCTGTGCAGCTAGTCTAAGCCAATAAAGGGCTGTGATGATTGGTTGATTCTAAGCTCTGTGCGTGCAGGGACTCTCAGCAAGTGGAGCACCTCCCTGGGGTCTGTCCACTGCCAAGCGGGAGAGCCAGCCTGGGCGGAGCCTCTGAGGCAGAGCCCAGGACCCAGGGCCACACTGGACAGGCCAGCTTCCTACGCCTATATATGCAACAGAGGTAGACTTAAAAAAAAAGTTTATTAGTGAAAGGGGCTGGGGGTGGTGGGCTGGATGCTACGTCAGCTGCCCCACCTGGTCCTCCTGCTGCATCTGGGCGATCAGCTGCTGCCGCTCAGCTGCTTGGCGCAGGCGCATCATGACGAGGCTTTCGTAGTCCCTCTCGGACACCACTGAGCCCTGGGGGACAGAGGAGGGAGAGGGAGGGCAGGGCCTGGGCAGAGCTAGTCAAGAGTCGAGAAGAACGGTGCCCAGGAGGAGAAGGACCGGGGAGCACCTGCAAGCCCAGTTCATCATGTTCCTTCGGAGCAAGCAGACCCTGGGTCTCCGGACCAGCTTCTCAACCATCCCAACCAGCACCTCCCCGCCCTCTCCAGTCAGCGCTGGCTCAGCTTTCCCTTCGTTTCCTCTCAGCCTCTACCCCAGCTTCTGCTCCTCACAGGTTTCCAAGGAAGGGGAGTTGTCAGAGGTTTAGAAACCCGCTCTGCTCTGCCAGGTGGAGGCGGGAGCACTGCGCCCTCCCAGCTGTCCATCTGCCCTGTGGACCGGCTCCTGCTGAGGTCACAGGAGAAGGAAGCCCTGCCCCAGACACATCCTCAGTCCACCTCAGCCTAAAAGAGAGAAACAAGCATGAAGCTGGCCTGCCTCCTAAAAACACACACCAGGGCTCCTGGAGGGCAGGGCCTGGAGCTCTTTCTCGTATGATCTTGCCAGCAGAGTGCGGGGATGAAAGACTGCTATATTTTGATAATCAAAAGGATAATAAACAACCACCTCAATGGGCCAAGGCTGTGGGGTGGAGAGGCGGCTCCAGTGCCAGGAGCCGAGCTGCCAGCCCCACGCCCTGATAAGGTCTGCAGTGGGAATTAAATCACTTCCTCCTTCGGGGCAGCTGAACCGCATGAAGTGTGAGGCCCACCTGAGTTGGCACAGAAGCAAGGCCAGGGTGCGGCAGGCAAAGGTGCGGCGCCCTGTTCTGTGGTATGCCAACCTGCTGCACGCTCATGGAGTAAGTCAGGGGGCAAGTTTGGTGGTCAGTGACCCAGGGAATAAGAAGGAAGTGGCTGGGGTTAAGATGCCAGACCCTGGCCAACGGGTTTGTAGTGGGGGTGGGGGTGGGGGTACGGAACAAGGAAGTGTTATTCAGCCCAGATCCCCCTGCGCCTCCCCCAGCCCCACGCCTCTCTTCCTCTCTCCTGGGCTGCAGAAGCTCTGAGCAGAGTTGCCCTCCCAGCCAGGCCCACTTATCTCAGCTTGGCCAGAGCTCTGCCAACAATCCAGGGCAGTCTCATGTGACCCAGCCCCCCCCACAGAGGAGGGGCCTCAGGTGAGGCCCAGGCAGCCCAGGAAGGACTGGAGCACAAGGTGGAAGGCAGAGGACCTGCCCCTCAGCTGCTCTCTCCTGCCCTGAGGCCGCCTGGTAAACCGATGAAGGATGAGGAAATAGAGCAGCTAGACTGGGTGTCAGGCCAAAGGGAGGGCAATTCTCCCCTCCCCAAGGAAGTACTGCTCTGCTGAGAAAACTCGTCACCCTGGCATGCCCCGAGCCCAGCCCTGGAAGCAGCCAGCCCTTTATTGGCATGGGGCTGCTCCCTGTTAACACACCCTCTGCCTCCTTCCCCCATACCTGTGGGCTCTAATGAGCGCCTGTCGGCAGGCCCTGGGCTGAGTCACCCACACTAGCAACAGGTCTCTTCTTCCTCCACAATCGCGCCCCACGCCTGCATTCAGTTAACCAGCACCTGCCCGGGCGCCTCTCCCCCAGACACACTGGGGGCCGGGGAGCTACGCCTGCTGCTACGGCCCAGGGTGGTGGGGAAAGGAGACGGTGTGCTGACACACAAGGCAGGGCTGCCCGCAGACAAGTCCCCAGAGGAATCTTTGGCTCCCCAGTGGCCCTGGGGTGTTGGCCACGGCTGCCCCAACTCCTGCATGCGGATGCTGCAATTACCTGAGCACGAAACCCGGCTTCCCACCTGACTGAGTCAGCTGAGAACAACAACACACCTCCACGCCACACCGCCACACCAGCACAGCCAGCAGGGCACGCATCAGAGTCGGGGAGCCACGGGGGACAGAGGCAGGGCCACGGCCAGAGGGTGAGCTGGGGCCGTGAGGAGCTGGGGCAGAGGCCGTTCCTATCACCTGAGAAGATTCATCCCTCACCCCCTGGTGCTCCTCTCACTCCGCTCCAGTAAGTGCTGCTTCTTCCTCTTGGGGTTTTTCCACTGCCCTATCAAGTAACCGGGCCACTCCTGTGCCTCTGGACAACTCCCGTGCCAGCAACTCTCGGCCCTCTGCTAGCCTCTTCCTGGGACGTCGTCTCACCCCCAGGTGCTGGCCTGAGGTCTGTGCTGAGCAGAAAGCTGGAGGCCTCTGCGAGGAGCCCACGTGGGCTGTCTCTCATTTCGTGTCGTTCACTGCCCCGGCAGAGACCAAGTGGTCCCTCACCACTGCGGAACTGGACTTCTAAGGTGTGCTGGCTCCCTGTCCCATGGAGACCTGGCGGAAAGGCTCCTTCCGCAATGCCTCCTTCTTCAAGCGGCTGAGCCTGCGGCGGCCTCGAGGACTCCGGCGACAGGGCAGTGTGCTGAGCCAGGCCAGCATGGCTGAGGGGGACCATGAGGAGTACAGCAACAGAGAGGTCGTCCGGGAGCTTCGAGGGAGGCCGGATGGCCGGCGCCTGCCACTGTGGGGGGACGAGCAGCCCCGGACCACCCTTCTGGCCCCACCCAAGCCCCCTCGCCTCTACCGAGAGAGCTCCAGCTGCCCCAACATCCTGGAGGCTTCACCTGCCTACACTGCTGCCTACTCGGCTACCCTGCCCTCGGCGCTCTCCCTGGCAGACGCCCTCCACGAATACTCCGAGGAGGACCTTGTGGACACGCCCCCCTTCCAGAAGACACCTGCTCCGGACCTTAATGATCCCTTCTTCTCCTTCAAAGTGGACCTGGGGATTTCACTTCTTGAGGAAGTTCTACAGATGCTGAGGGAGCAATTTCCCAGTGAGCCCGGCTTCTGAATGGGGTGAGGGTGGGCAGAGGTGTGGTAACTGGAAGAGACGAAAGCCTGGGGACCCAGGACAGGAAGGTAGAGTTGTGGATTAAGAAAAGGTGCGGGTGGCAATCCAGGGCCCTGCCTGCCCTCTGGGTCCTCAACAGTCCTCCAGGTCCCCTGAGGGGAGGGACAGAGGTGTGGAGAAGCCGGAAATGTGAGGGGCACTTGCTGTCAAGAGCTCTAAAGGCAGCAGCGAGGCTGGGAAAGGGGCCACAAGGGCAACTCCAGGGACCAGGCAGAGGCCAGCAGAGGGGGTGGGTGGCACAAGGGGCGAGTCAGGGAGTGGAGGACACACAGACTGGACAGATCAGGCCCCGCTGAAGCTACTCTCCACAGCGAGAGGTTACAGGACAGGTCTAGGCAAAAGTGGTCCAAATCAGACCTAAGGGGAAAGTGGGAAGACCTGAGGGAAGAGGGATGGGACAGGCTTGACTCTGTCCAGTGTAGTAGCCACTAGCTACATGTGGCTGTTTACATTTAAATAATTGAAACGAAGTAAAATTAAAAATTTAGTTCTTCAGCTGCACTAGCTGCATTTCAAATGCTCAATCGCCACACATGACCAACGGCTACCACACTGGACAGTGGAGGGTGAACTTTATTAACATCACTGGGGAAAGGCCGGCTGGGTAGTTAATAGGACCACAGTGCCCCGAGACCGTGGCCTTGAGGCAGCAGTGGCACGGGGGAGGGGAGCACAGGGGCCTGCACGGAAGGGAGGGGCTGGCAGAGGAGAAGAGGGAGGCTCAGAACACACATCCTTAGCAGGAGAGGGGGCATGAGAGACTCCAGCTGCCAACACAGCTGCCTGGAGCAGCCCCCGGGGCCTGAGGAAGGTGGGTCCAGGGACTGCCAGCTGAAGGCACAGACACAGCTTGAGGGCGATGTGGGCAGTTCCCAGAACTATTGCTGATGGGAGCCCTTGGGAAATGCAGCAGCAACAGTGGCAGATTTCCCTTCATCCTTCCCCCAAAGAGGACACAGGAGGACCATCCAGGGGACGGACAGGGAACTCGTGGCTGTTACCATGCAGAGGCACAGCTCGTCTCCAGAGTCCTCCACCAGGACGGGAGCTCGGCCTAAACCCTCACCCATGGGGCCTGCCACCCGGGGCCAAGCCCACTGCTTATGGCCACATGCTGTGCTATTGCCCCACACTGTGGCTTGGCCAGAGGACTTGAAACTAGAGCTCAGGTTGGCTGGCCATGTGGTTCTGAGATTCCAGGCGTGAAGAGAGAGGGAAGCTCGACACACACTGCTTCCACCACCCAAACTGTGGCCTCCATCTCCCCTCCTCCTGCGGATGTGCCCAGAGGAGGCTCCTCCCCGGATGCAGGAGACAGTAAATAAAGTTCCATATCACAGCCTGCGCAATGTCATCTGGGGCTGTGAGATGCTGGGACTTCACGGTGAGGGAACGCGCTCTCTAAAGAAGGGTCTTAGGTTGGACAGTTCCTTTTCCTCCTCAGTCCATGGTCTGGGACACCTCCCAGGGCTCCGGTTCTCACGGCCAGGTGGGGGGCAAGTAGGAAAGCAGGGGTGGGGTGACAGCCCAGAGGCCTTGCTGACCCACCGAGGGGCATGCTCCCCTCAGAGGGACTGTGACATCAGTCTGAGGCTCCCACAGACCACAGGCTGTTCCAGAGGAGGAAGAGCTCTTGGCCTAAAAGCTCTCTGTTCCCCCAAAGCGAGGGCAGGTGTGTGTGTGTGTGTGTGCGTGTGCTCTCGTGTGCGTGTATATGCGTGTGTGTGCGTGTGCCCTTAAACAGAAGCCTTAAACATGGAGCTGTGAGGACCAGCAGCTGGTGTGGAGAACACACCAGCTGCAGCCTGCTTCCTCATGAGCCGACCAGGCAGCAAGCGCCCAGTGTCAGCGGGGTCGCGAGTGTTATTTCTGAGGAGGAGACAGCACCTCTTGACAGCAGGTCCTGCCTGTGACAGCTGCAGACACACCTGGAGAATGAGTTGGGGACGGAAGTGGAAGCAGCTGCCCTCGTCCTCTACCCCTTCCTCGCAGCACCGGGTTGTCCAAGAGCCAAACGCTTCACATCAAAACCAGGCAGCCTGCGGGCCAGGGAAACCCCTCTGGGTGACGATGGTCTCCAGCAGGAGCCCGGGATGTGGAGGAAAAATAAGGTCTAAGAATCTTTGTAGGGTGGGCCGCTGGCACCCAGAGAGGAAAAGGGATCAGCATGAAGTCACAGTCACCCTGCTCCGGTTGGCGGACCTGCCAATCTCACTCCATCAGGATGAGCTGCATTTGCGAGCAAAGAACCCTGAGAAGAGCCCAAACAGGAAAGATTCTCCAAACCCTGGGCAGGCCCCTGTGTGAGGCCTGGCTCCTTACCTGTGACAGTCCTGGGTGGCTGGGGCCGTCCTTGCCCTGGGGCCGTCCCTCCAACCAGGAAATCTTCAGAGGATTATCAACCAGGCCCACTTCATTCTGGACAGCCAGCTCCTGCAAAACACAGCCTCCAGTTAGTCCTGTCACTCCGAAAATCAGCTATGGAGTGGCTCTCTCTACCCCCGTGGTTGGCAAACTGCGGCTCGCGAGCCACATGCGACTCTTTGGCCCCTTGAGTGTGGCTCTTCCTAAGCCTTAGGAGTACCCTAATTAAGTTAATAACAATGTACCTACCTATATAGTTTAAGTTTAAAAAATTTGGCTCTCAAAAGAAATTTCAATCGTTGTACTGTTGATATTTGGCTCTGTTGACTAATGAGTTTGCCAACCACTGCTCTATCCCCACAGAAAGTACCAGAACCAGCAAACTCACCCTCCAAGCAAGACTGAGCAACCTTCCCATGATGGTGTGCCGAGTGGGGTAGTTGGAGAACGGGGAAAGGCAGGGTGGGGCCCCAAACTGGAGGCGCGCCAGTTCCCATGGCAGAGTGGAGGGGTGGAGCCAGCAGCAGGAAATGCCGTTGGTCCACGCTGTCCTTTACCCCAGAGCATTCTCCCGCCCATCCCTTCCTTCACTGTGCCTGTACTGCTCCCGGATTCCAGAGTCAGGAGTCAAGCACCTGGGGGTTTGGAGCGGGGGCAGGGGGGGGGGGAAGGCTTTGGCTCTGAGCTGACCCAGAGATTTACTGGGAGTGTGGATACCTAACCACAGGGCTCCCCCAGGATTGAGTCCCTCCCTGGAATGGCAGGGCCTCACGCAGCACTCACCGCTGCCTTGATGGTCGCAAACTCCACCACGGCGGTGCCTGCCTTCTTGCTGGAAAGTACCAGGTTGAGCACCTCTCCATACTGTGGGGACAGGAAGGCCGCTCAGGCAGAGGCAAGCCTGGCTGCCCAGAGGCCCCGGGCGTGTTCCGCTGGGGACAGCGTCTTGTTCCCAGTTCCCAGAAGGGAGAGCAGAGACAGAAGGAAAGGATTTTCCCAGGAATACAGGAGAGAAAGGAGAGTTGGACAAAGGCTGGGACTTGGACTGGCAGAGTGACAAAGCTGCCTCGATGACTGAAGATGGTGAAGGGGCAAGGCTTTTGTGCCAGATGCCCACCTCCTCTCTGCCCACACACTCAGCCAAGCCCTCTGCTTCTCAGGATGACGGGCAGGGAGGGTGAGACAGGCTGGAGGGGAGAGGAGGGCTGTGGCCTGGAAGAAGCTAAGCTGCCCTTAGGTCCATGACAGAGAGAGAGGCAGGGAGGGCGGTTTAGGCATGGAGAGCCTGGCGTTTGGACGGAGATGATGGGAAAGAGGGAAGTCAGCAGGGCACACCTTTTGAAGAAGCTGCAGGAGGACATCTCTGGAGTAGCCGCCTTTTGAACCGTCCTCTCTGCACTTCCATTTTAGCTGGAAAGACAGCAGCGGGCATCACCAGTGAATACCAGCCTTCGCCTGAACAACCCCAGACCCCACACCTGAGCTTTACGGTCTGAACAGACGCCCTCCACTAGCAATCTAGGGAGAACCCTCCAAAATGTGTCCCCCTTGAGAACGGACAAGCAGGGCGGCCTGCTCCCTGCAGCCATGTCCCCAGCCTGTGGGAGGCTCTCTTCGAGGGCCTCTGGGGAGTGCTGCCTGCAACAGTCAGGGCGAAGAGCAGCCTCCATGGCGAGCTCTACGGGGCTGTCCTCCCCGGGCAGTGGGAAAGTGGAAGGCTGTGCAGAGTGGTGCTGGCTCCCCGAGATCCAGTGTCCCCACCAGAACCCTTGAGCCACAGAAAGTACCTGTTCTTGCTGAGAGGAGGTAGCGTGAGGTGACCCATGGATCCCCTCAGGGCTCACCTTTAGCTTGGGAGTTCCTTTGCCTTCAGGATTTTCTGTCTTTCCTAGAAAATTTGGGGAAATGAGAAAGTAGAGTATGAAGGAGAGAGAAGTTCTCCCAAAGGAGATGCAGCCCAGGCCCAGAAGGACCTAGAAAAGGTCACTCTGACCAAGGGCAACAGCTGCCCCTGCTCGGGAGCCCCTGAAGCTACTACCCCAGGGGGGTCTGCCCGCTGCCTGCTGAAGGGCACGGTGAGCACTCTGCCAGTGCAGGGCTGTGAACACCTGGGGGCAGGATGCAGGGGTACAGACCACACAGTTCTACTAAAACTAGAGCTTCTCTCCCGGTTACCTGCTCCAAAATAGAGCCAGCCCTACTTGGGACTAAGGTATATCAGGCCAGGAGACCTAGGGCAGAGTGAAAAGCAAACAGGCCAGAGAATGGGTAGGAAAAAGGGACAGGGGGCATATGTCCATGTGGGGTGCCCCTGGGATTGCAGTAGGTGAAAGTCTCCACAGAGAGCTGCCTCAGAGCGGGAGGCGGGTGAGGGTGATGGACTCTCACCTCTCAACCTCTGCTCCCGTTCCTGGCGTATCTGCTCCTGCATCAGCCTCTGCTGTTTTTCCAGCTGGCGGGAACCTTCTTCTCGCAGGCGTTCGATCTGCAGAGCAGGGGGTTGGGAGGTGACAATTCTGTGCAGATCCCATTCCAGGTTGGCTCCCTCTGTAAAGGCCCCTGGGAGGCTCCACCTGTAAGCTAGGGCTCAGCAACCTGCAGGGGACAGGTTGCCCAGATCCCACAGAAGAAGGGGGGAAGGGCATGACCTCCCGCCACCACACCCAGCTAGGTCCGCCTTCCCCCAACTCCTGCAGACGGCCTCAGGCCCTCAGGCCCAGTCGCTCACCTCCTGCTCTAGTGTCCTGGTGCTCCCGCTCTCCTCCTCCTCCTCGTCCTGGGCCTGGGCCTGAGCCTGCCGCTCCCGGGCCTCCAGGTCTAGGCACAAGGGTTGAATGACCCAATGGCTGGTCTAAGCAGTTTTTCCCCGGCCTCAGCTCCCCCAGCTCTGGCTGCTTCCCCAGCCTCACACACTGTACGGATGAAACCGTACAGTGACTCTGCCCCCTCCCTCCATGCCCATGTGCTCCCAAGTTTATTTCCATTGAGAAAAAGTCACAGCACAGAAGTACAGGCTCCTGATGAGTGGCCGGGGTCTGGAAGAGTGAAACCAGCTCGTACTGACCGAGCTGGCCGTCTGACCAGCGAACAGGGCGTGGGCAGGTGCTCATGTTGGCCACCCAGGCCATGTGCAGGGATGCCAGTGGGAGGAGCCGTTGGCCCCTGTCCCTGTGGTTGGCACCACAGCCTGACTGTGCTCTTGCCTTGGCTTTGATGCATCTCCCACCAAGGAGCTCAGGTTGTCACTGTCTCCTTCACCTCCCCTTCGACTCACATTTACCAAGCCTCACGCGACCTGGCCACCGCAGCTCCCACAGGGGTGGCAGATTCTGTGAGGACAACACCCGGGCTCAGAGCCCTTCCCGCCTTCCGGGGGAAAACTGCTTGTGGCCTGTTCCAGGCGAAATGCTGTGAGAGACTCTTCTCTCGGGCTCGGGACTCAGTGCTTTCTTTCCCGTGCACTTTACTTACCTTCAATCTCCAGAATTTTTGTTTGTTTTTGATAGAGAGATGGATGTACAGGGATGGCATATGTACATATTAAATATATGGGTATCAAATAGGCAACAAGATGGAGGGAAAATCGAGTGAAGAATGTATGGACCAATCTAATTGGGGTGATGAAATTGATTTACAGTCATAATCACACCATTTGGTAAATTTACTAAAAATCATTGAATTGTACACAGGAAATGGGTGGATATTATAATATGAAAAATATACCTCAATAAAGCCGTTTAAAAAAAAATGCCTGGACCCCTTTGGATCCTTCTGAGGGGACTTCGCAGAGTGAAAGCTCTGTGCAGAAATGAGGCTGGGAGGAGTAAAAGGCCCTGGATGGCAAGGTGAACAAGAACGGATCTACGTGGACTGTGGGTTTAAAGCACAGCAACAGCCAGTTCTCATCTTTGTGGTGCCTTAGCTTCTTTGTCTACAAAAAATGGGTTTAGTAATACCCACCTCCTTTGAGCACTGTGACAGTTAAAAGAGACAATAAGACGTCTGCCACAGTGCCTGGCTGAGAGTGAATCTAGTCACTGCTGTTATTCTGAGTGTCCTTTAGATCCACCCGAGGACAGGGTTCTTCCCAGAGCCGGGCCAAGGGGCTCTGAGTTGCCGGAACTGAATGAGCTCCAGGAAGAAAGGTGAGGTTGCTGCATGAAAACGGCCCAGGGAAACTGCAGGCCACCCCGCACCACCATCTCACCTACCAAGCTTCACTTTCTTCCTTCTCTCATCTAGTTTCTGGGTCCTCTCTGCTGCCTGCTTCTTGGCTTTCCTGATCTTGTCATACGCGGCCTGGCAGGAGAAAGGAACACCGAGGAGCAGTCAGTCAGGGAACAAGCAGAGGGCCCAGCCACCTTCCCAGCCCGCCGCCTCACCCCAGAGCCCTGGGGAGGGTCGCTAGGCTGGGGCAGCTGGGACTGTGCTCATGGCAGGTACAGAGGACCGAGGCTGAAGTGCCACGGTGGTCTCTAACCATGAAGACAATTCAGACAGAGGAGGATGTCTTACCCTGGCGGCAGCGTCAGTCAGTACCTCCAAGGCCTGAGAAAGCTGGTGGAAGAGTTCAGCTAAACACAAAGATCAAACAACAGAGAGGAGAAAAATTAAATTAGACTTGGTGATGTTGTGCTCCCTCAGAAAAGCACCTCAAAGAAGCCACAGGCTGGCAGAAAAGCTGACAGCAGATGACAGACCAGCAAGGAAGGGTGCGTACATCAGCAATGGACCCGACACCCCTAACACGAGAAGCCGGCTGTGCGCCAGCATTCCACCGCACTCCCCCGGAGCACCGGTGGGAGACACCCCTGCCCAGGTGGCCTTGCCTTCTTCTCCCCACTCCCAGGAGAGACTCACCTGCTCTGGGATTATCCGGATTTTTGTCTGGATGGCAGGAGAGGGCCTTCTGCCTATATGCCTTCTTCACCTGGAAGAGTCAGAACACATGACCATTCACTCCTTCTCACCCACGGCTCAGGAAAACTTTGTTAAAGCGATAAGGGAAAGCCCTGTAAGAGAGGCTGCTGGCTCCCACACGGAGACAGTAACTCACAGCCACCGAGGAGATCTGCAGTGGAGGAGGCAAAGGCCATGAGGGAGCCCAGGCCCTCCTGAAGCAGAGGGGCGGGGCTTCCTTCCCACCCAGCCCCGATCCCATCCCTCCGGATGCCAAGGCTCCTGGCAGGGCAGGTCCTCTGCAGCCCCCTGGAAACAGGCATCTCACACACCCAATGGGCATGAGAACTGGGGCAACCGTTCTGGAGGGAGATTTTGCCATCAAAATTTAAGATATACTTTCCCTTTGACCCACTCCTAGGAATTTGGACTTGTAGAGGTATGCTAACATAAACATACAAGCATGCCCACTGCACCACTATTTATATTAGCCCCCAACTGGAACCAACCAAAACCTCCATCAACAAAGAGAGCCATTTAAAAACCTATGATAGAAACTAGTTGAAATCAGCTATTGAGTGTAATGTGGCAGTTGAAGCTCTATGCTACTCTTTTGTTTCCCTCCCCCATGAGGCTTTTATAAAGGTCATCTGGTTTGAGTTCAGTCCAATTTAAACTGATAGTCCATTACACTGATGGATCTTTCAGCAGAAAAAATCTGGTCACCAATTCATGTGGTGACAGACTTGACTGTTGAATTCAGGACAGTAAGTTCTTAGGCTTTGGCTGGCTCTAGCTTTATGTATAAGATGGATATAGACTGTATCTCTGTGATACCCAGAAAGGTCACATTTTTATTGCCTGAGAGACCTTTTGCTGGCACTGAATACTGTAAATCTAAGAGAAACAAGGAGTATATATCTGTTCCAGTGACCACCCCAAAATTCTGAAGCACCAAAGATAAGCTAAAATAAAACATCAAAATTCTTAAGAAAAAAATAAAATAAAATAAACTATGATAGATGGGAGCCTATATGTGCTGACTAGAAAGATCTTCAAGCCCTTATCTCAAGGGGGGGGGGGGGAGCCCTGGCCAGGTAGCTCCGTCAGTTGGAGCGTCGTCCTGTACACCAAAAGGTTGTGGGTTTGATTCCAGTCAGGGCACATACCTGGGTTGTGAGTTTGATCCCTAGAGCAGGTGCACATGGGAGACAACCGATTGATGCTTCTCTCTCATATCGATGTTTCTCCCTCTCTCTCCCCCTTCCTCTCTTTCTGAAAATCAATGAGAATATGTCCTTCGATAAGGATTAACAAGAAAAAAAAAGATTCTGTAACTATATGTGGTAATCATTTCATGATACTATATACAAATATCGAATCATTGTGCTGTATACCTGAAATACAATGTTATATGTCAATTATACCTCAATTTAAAAAAAGAAAGATCTTCAAGATAAGGTGTGTGAAAAAAAGGCTTAGAACAGTTATACAATATGATCACTTTGGGGTTTAAAATAAACAATCAAAAAAATGAAATAAAAATAGTTCCAGATACTCTGGCATGTGCATAGCTTTTGTTTTCTTTTTTCCTCAAAGCAATCATAAGAACCATAAGAGCTGTTTCCTTTGGAGAGAAGCTGAAGATGGAGAGGAAGGAAACATTTACATCTCATTTTATGCCATTCTGTAGTTCAAATTTTCAAACCTTAAACAAGTCTTATTTTACTATCATTTTTCATTGTCAACAGAGGTTATCTTGGTGGGGAGGTTATGGCCCATTTTTAGTTTTTATCTCCGCATATCTCTGATTTGAAAAGAAGAAAAGTAGTATTTTTTCTACTTTTAGTAAAAGTAAACAGCTGCCAAGGTTCTCTTTCATCTATTACCCACTCGGTTGTTTTAAGGGAAGGCAGAGCACAAAGTCCCAGATTCTGCCCTCTGCTTCCTGAGGGCTTGCCCACTTCTGCCTACATACCTTACCTGCGGCTCAAACCTCCTGGGAGGAGGAGCCTCTGGACCTAGCACTTCCACATCTCAGAGGGAACCAATAAATACTTCTACCCTAAGTGTGCTAAATGAGGACCTTCAGGCAAGTTGCCAGAGGCCCTAGGGGAGGGCCTGTAGACAGTGCCTCATTCCACTCCCACATCTACTGCTAAGAAAGGCTGCAGCTGCCTAGACCTCTGGGCTGTGCTGCCCCCTGGTGGGCCATTGCCAGCACCACACCTTCACCTGCCAGGGTAACCTGGCCCATCTGATCTGGCTCTCCTGGCTGAGCAGGAGGCAGGAGGAACCACTCAGGACAGGTTGTGAGCATCAAAGGTATAGACATGCCTCCCTGCCCTCCCACCTTCCCAACTGCACCCTATGCTCACCTGGCCCACTTGTTCACCTCTCCACCCCAACAGAGGTCTTCACCATTAACCCCGAGAGTGCCGGGGAGCGCAATCGCACTCCTTTTGCCTTTCGCCAAAAGTGCTGGGAGCGCTATCACTCCTCCTGCAGTGTCACTATTAGATGCTAGTAGTTCACTCTTTAGTGGGAAAAAAAAATTTAAAAACCTTAACTCAAAATGCCTTGGCAATTTTAGCATAGTTCCTAGGGTATTGGTCGGCACTCAAAGGGTTAAACAACAACAACAAAATCTAGCTGTTTTCACTACCAAAAAAACAAAAAGTAATTCTAAGGGAATGGGCCCTAGCCGGGTAGCTCAGTTGGTTAAAGTGTCATTCCTATATGCAAAGATTTTGGGTTCAATCCCCAGATAGGGCACATACAAGAATCAAGCAATGAATGCATAAGTGGAACAACAAATCAATATTTCTCTTTCTCTCTCTTTTCCTTCCTGCCCGCCCACCCCCACCATCAACTAAAAAAAAGGCTGAGCATTGTCCCATGCGTGCGCGCGCACACACACACACACATAACGGAATGGGAGGTGCTAGTTTTATATATAGTCTTACATTTGAAATGTCATCTTTATTCTTTAGCCATCAATACCCCACTTTCATCAAATGGTTAGATCATCCATCCAGACAGAAAAATCAGCAAGGAAACATTGGCCTTAAACAACACATTAGATCAGATGGACTTAACGGACATATATGGAACATTTTACCCAAAGCAACAGAGTACATGTTCTTCTCAAGCACAGGACAAATCATATGTTAGGCCACAAAAGAATCCTTAATAAATTTAAGAAAACTGAAATCATAACCATCTTTTCCAACCACAATGGTATGAAACTAGATATCAATTACAAGAAGAAAACAAAAATTCACAAATATGTGAAGATTAAACAAAATGATACTGAACATGGGTCAAAGCAGAAATCGAGAGAGAAGAAAAAAAATACCTTGAGAAAAACGAAAATAGACACACAACATACCAAAACTTATGGGATGCAGCAAAAGCAGTTATAAGAGGGAAGTTCATAGCAATAAATTCCTACATTAAGAAACAAGAAAGCTCTCAAACAAACAACTTAACTTTAATCTCACGAAACTAGAAATAGAAAAATAAATGAAGGCCAAAGTTAGTAAAAGTAAGGAAATAATACAGATTAGAGTGGAAATAAATGATGGAAAGACTAAAGGACAATAGAAAAGATCACTGAAACTAAAAGCTGGTTTTCTGAAAAGATAAACAAAATAGACAAATCTTTAGTTAGATTCACCAAGGGAAAAAAGAGAGGAGTCAAATAAATAAAATCAGAAATAAAAGAAGAGATGCTACAACTGATATCACTGATGTCTGTTGACTTCAACAATACATTAAAAAGATGAAACACCATGATCAAATGGGATTTATTGCAGGGATGCAAGGGTGGTTCAACATTTGCAAATCAATTAATGTGACACATCACATTAAGAAAATAAAGGGTAAAAATCATATGATCATCTCAACAGATGCAGAAAAGCATTTGACAAAATATCCATTTATGATTTTAAAAAAAACTTTCAACAGAGTGGGAATAAACAGAATGTACCTCAACATAATAAAGGCCATATATGACAAGTCCACAGTTACCATATGTTATGGTGAAAACTGAAAGCTTTTCCTCTAAGATGATGAACAAGAAAAGGATGCTCACTCTTACCATTTTTTTAGGCTATGTTATTTTTTGTATTGAATTTATAGGGGTTACATTGGTTAATAAAATTATATAAGTTTAAGGTGTAAAATTCTATAATACATCATCTATATATTGTATTGTGTGTTCACCACCTCAAGTTATGTCTCTTTTCATCACCATTTATCCCCTTTATCTTCTCCTGACTCCCTTATTCTCACCACTTTTATTCAATACTAGTGTCCCAGTGCACAGATTTGTGCACATTGAAAGGAAATTAATTAGAAGAAATATTTTAATATCGCTATTTGCCCTTTCTCTATAATAGAAGTGTCAACCAAATTCATGATCGACAATGACAGATGGAAACACATGTGTGCGATTGGCACCAATGAGAGCTTTATATGTATTGTGCATGTGCGAGTCAATGTTCATTTTCAAATTGCCAGTGCACGTCATATGTACCGGCTAATCAGTCGATCAGATGGTCGGATGAATGGACAGACAGACGGTTGGTTGGATGGATGGTTGGTCACTTAGCCTTTTATATATATAGATTCCACTTTTTAAATAGATCATTGGGGAAAGGTCAGTGAGATTTTTGTCTAATAACCAAATACACTTTTGGGATAGTGACAATCAAAACAAGGCTGCTTTGACCACAGAAGTTGTGGAAGCAGCCTACTGGGACAAGTACAGAGGAAGAGGTATGAGATTATATCAGAATGAGAAATGAAGAAAGCTGCTCTCTTTTTGGAATAGCAAATCTACAGGACATCCATACACTTGTAGGGACTTGACATTGTGTGGAGAGCTGTGCAAGAGACACCTGCAGAGTTAAAGAAACTACAGGGTGTAAGTTCCTGGGTTAAGGAACTTAGTGCCTTCTCTGTCAGAAGGGGCAATCAGGCAAGCAGGTGAGTGGTTAGGGGCGATCATGTAAGCAGGTGAGTGGT